AGAGAGAGAGAGAGAGAGAGAGAGAGAGAGAGAGAGAGAGAGAGAGAGAGAGAGAGAGAGAGAGGATCCAATTTTACTAGTAATTTAAAACTAAAATTATGAGTACGTCAGACAAACAATTTGGGTTTTTAAAAATTAAAAGCTTTATCAGTATGTTTTGAAGAGATACAGCAACATTATTTAATTTTCTCAAAGTCATGAAAGTGTGAACATGTTAAAAAACCTTTAAGTTGTGATTTTCTGCACTTGCAGAATATTCTCAAATAGATGTGCTTCACTAGGAACAGCAGGATAGTTGAGTGTTTAAAACGCCCCTTTCATCTGAGAATCCGAGGCTGAAACATTTCTTTCAAATATAAATTCCTCTAGTAAATTTGGATTCTGTGCGAGAGCTATTCCGTAGGCAGACAAACATTCTTTCATTCTCTCCGTGACCTCAGAGTCGAGATTTATATCCACGTTGATGGCCCAGTTTATTCTCGTGTCCTCAACCTCAGCTAAGTGGCGAATATGCATCTGTAGATGGGATTCCAAATCTGCGTAGACTGACCCGTAAAAGTCAGAATTAACACCCAAACCCGAGCTCACTGGGAAGAAGTGTATGGTGGAGAACATGGTGGCATTCCGGACGTCTCTCTCGACAGGAGCATCATCGTCCTTGACCCCTGAAGAACCAAAAGACAAGAAAGCTTTCGTTCTGTGGTTGATGACATGCTGTATGTTCTCTTTGACCCGGCGCAAAGGCACGTAATGAACACATATTCGGCCTTGGCGTATGATTCTATCCCACGTGACTTCGTCTTTGAAAAATTCTTCCATATCCCCGAGTGTCATTTCCTGGACGTTCTGAAAAGTTGAAGGGTCCACTTTTGGAATGTTGCTCTTCTCGATGTCCATATGGTACTCTTTCTGGTGAAATGTAATAAAAAGCAAACGTAAAGAATTATAATTGATAGTTTTATAAACATTCAGCTTTGTAGAATCGGTGAATAATAATGAATTTACACCCGTAAGCCATTTCCTGTAATCTAAGCATCATATAGCCCATTACACTCTTCTGTATATTGCATAAAAATTATATGAATTTTATGCCATTTGAAGAATGTTATTTTACTGGACGTTTTAGACTTTTTGGGGCTGGAATGTTTGTGCGCGCGTACGTGTGTGTTTGTGTGTGTGTGTGTGTGTGTGTGTGTGT